GAGTATTTTTAGCTTAATATATGTTTTATATTGATTGATATAATATTGTACCATATCTAAAWACTGAAAAATTGTATAAATTATAATTTACWAKTTATTAGTATATTTCTTAAAAAACAAATATGTTTTGATAGAATTATAAACATTTAAAAATAATTTTTATCATTATTTTATTGAATAACRATTTTAATTCTTGGATAAAATAAATAAATAAAATATATTTATATTATTTATAAATAAAAYAAATTCATGTATTTTTAACATTAATAAAGTATCGATTTTTWAAAAAAGTGATTGTTTATTATAATATTTTAGTKTGATAATTTTAATAAATTTTCAATTATTATACATTAWATTCGTATTTTTCTTTGATAAAATAAAATATTATGTTAGAAGTATGTTAGCAAACAAAAATTATAAATTCACTACTCTATCTGCCTATAAAATTAGTTCGAACGTGTGATTATACACTTTTGTTTACATCAGTATACATTGTCTCATAGATGGCGTTTTCACTATTTTAAATTTTTTTTTAGAACTACTGTAAATAATAATTAATACTATTTTACTTTAGGTAATAATAATATATTATAATAAGTTGTACCATATAAACTATTATTTGTATACAGAAATGTATTTTTTTTTAAATATTATTTAACTAAATACTTAGGGAAAAAAAATCCAACGAAGAAAAAAATAAATACACTTTGCTATCGAGGAATATGATCACAGTGCTTTTAGTACATAGTTCACCATTACCTACACGATMGATGCATAATAACGAGATTAAGATAATTTTTGAAAAATAGTTTAGAAGCGGACGCTGCGTTTTGTTCGCGGAAATGATCAGTTTTATTAATAATTATATTATATCACGTATAGGTACAAGATTTATTTCGTTGACATGTCATATTGTGTATTGAGAGCACTTTATGTACTCACACAGGTTTTTTGGTAGGGCCATTGGTAACAGAACGGCACTAAGAATAAGATGTCGGTGGCCACTACTTGTGTTTCAGGCCAAAAATAAAAACAGAAAATAATATCACAATTACCTGATCTCAAATTACATTAATAATATTGTGGACAGTGGACACGTTGGTCACATCGATCGATGTATAAACACAGCCGCCTTGACCTTGGTATCAATTAAATGACCACCGTGTGGGGGTAACTCGATATTTTCTGTCATCCATTAGTCTGTCGTGCAARCAACTGGAAAACTCGTTCAACACTTGCTTTCACATCATCCATCGCTCAATCCTTTATCAAACCTTTTATTCATCGTTGGCGAGTTTGTATTAATGTAGTAGTGTGCAATGCAGTGTAAAGACAATTTCTGTAGAACGAGTTTTGTACGTTAGTAGGCTTCCGRGCTTATAATTTTCTTTACGCCAAAATGCATCGTCAGCCACCTTCTCTTCCCCAATCATTAAGATCCAGGGATAATTTGCATATTATGATCTCTATATTATTCACAAGTTCTTTGTTTGGTTGGAAATTTGTTTATAACTTTCAACGCGGCTACAATCCATTTWAATTATAAATGTGAAATATGAATATAAATAACTTGATGTTATAAAAACGTTTTGCTATTTTCAAACTCTTAGATGTGTTTTGTCTTTCTTTAAGAATTAGTTGGTAGTATATGGTTATTGGTCATATTTTATTTATAAATTATTTTAATGCAAGGTTAGATATGTGTAGTGAACGCAGATACTATACTAAAAAAAACAGCAAAAAAACTGTGAAAAGACTTTCATTTGATTTAAATAGGTACCTATTGTTTTGTTAAATTGTATTACTTGTATAAATCTTGTTTTTGTTAAAGTTTAAATTGTAAATACTTAAATTGTTCGTCATATTATGTCAATATATTTTAGTAAAATTATTAAATGGTAGACTATATACATTATCTTGGCGTCATATTAAATACAAACAAAAAAATAACCACGTATACATGGTTATTCCGTCTAGGTTTTCATAAAATAACATTCTATAATATACATTTCATCACATCACATTATTAARCCATTCATTTTTTTAATCAATAATAAATATGATAAGAATAATAATTTGAAAATAAGCATATAAATAATGAAATAACGCAATATAATATGTATAGGGTACAGTATTTATAGATACGTATATATTATATACACCAAACAACGTAAAGTCAATTTGAATAATTTCTCAATGACAGTATGGTCATTGGTCACAAGTTGATAAAATAAAATTAGTAATACCTAGCTTATAAAAGTCTATCAATATAATAAAAATAGCTACAGAATTAGTACATAATATTATATTTTTACTAATACTATAAATAAATTAACATTATAAATACAGAAGTTATAAATCTATATAGATTATTGCTTAGAATGTTTCGATTTTATGACAACTATTATTCTAATAAGGAAGAAAAGAAGCTACAGTGTATTCACTAAAATATTATATACTAATTTATTCCATTACTCCACATTACTGAACGAAAAAATTAAGCCAAAGCCACAGAATATGCAAATGGTTTACGAAGTCACTTTAGTTTGTAGTGCTAACTAAATTCATAATTACAAATAATCATAATAGGTAATGTATAAAGTTGATTTATATAAGTTAGGTTATAATACAATGGGTGATACGAAGCTGCATAATTTCCAAGTCAATATTTATAAGTCTAATTAGAATTATAAAGGTTAAATAATGTTGGTTTCGGATTAGGTTGCTTAAGCACAAGTTTCATTAATCCTATACTTTAATGTTTGAGGCTAATTGCAGGGTTAGCAATTACTTATAATTTATAACTTATAAGCATTAAGCAAATTGCAGGGTTAGCAATTACTTATAATTTAAATGTAGATGTATAAGTAAAAATAAATAAATTGGTTATTAAATTTGTTATAAGTAAAGTCCAGACTTAAATGTT